GAATGTACAGCGCTCTCTCCCACCTTCAGTACCACGACTGAGGTGCCCTTGAGCAAGGCACCGAACCCCCAACTGCTCCCCGGGTGCCGCAGCATAAATGGGGTGTGTGTGTTCACTGCTGTGTGTGTGCACTTTGGATGGGATAAATGCAGAGCACTAATTCCGAGTATGGGTCACCATACTTGGCCACATGTCACGTCACTTTTGTCACTAATGATACACAAAAGTAATGTGATTATCATATTCAGCATGTCAAACTTCATAAACATTAACAATAAAAGTGAAACAAAAACTTTTCAATTACACACACACACATACAAAAAAACTAATAAGAGTGCATTTAGAGCTGCAATAAACCAGTCAGAAGTTTAAAGACATTTAAAAACTGATGAACTTTTTCCAGAAACTCAACATCAAAGACAAAACTAGTGATAATTTTGTTAGCTATTTTCAATTTTAGTCTTAGTCCCGTGTTAAATGTCCTTGTTAGTTTTTATCATATTTAGTCAACCTTATCCTATTTGGTTTTAGTCAAGTTTTAGTTGACTAAGGCCCGGTTTCATAGATTAGGCCATATTTCAATTAGGACATTTAAGTAATTTTTATAAACATGCCTTAGAAAAAAACATTACTGGTGTGCTTCTTAAGACAAAACAAAGGCACTGACATGTTTTAAGATCAGTCAGTGCAAGTTTCTTTCAGTTGAAACAGCTCAAGATTTACATTTTAGTCTAGGACTAGGCTTAAGCCTTGTCTGTGAAACTGGGGGGGAAAGTCTCAGCATTTTAGTCTAGTTTTAGTCAAAGAAAACTTGACATTTTAGCTATAAGATTATTATTAATTAACCGTACAGCAGTATTAATTTTGGCAGCCATTCTTAATTTAGTCTTACTCAAATGTACATTTTAGATATATTTAGTCAACCTTGTCCTGTTTTTGTTTAGTCAAGTTTAAGTCAATGAAATGTATGAGCATTTTAGTCAGGTTTTAATCAAATTTTCGTCATGCTGTATAATGGTTAAACTGATCAAAATTATTTTTGCTCAAAATTATAATCGTAATGATTGCCATTTGAGAAATTTACTTTTGCATTTCAGGCATTGCACTTTCACCAGTAAGCACAAATCAATAGAATGTGGACTCATACATTGGTGTGTTTTACCTCATCTAGGCCCGGTTTCACAGACAGGGCTAAGACTAAGCCAGGATTAGGCCATAGTTCAATTAGGACATTTAGGTAATTTTTATAAACGTGCTTAGAAAAAAAAAAAACATTACTGGTGTGCTTTTTGAGATCAAACAAAGGCACTGATATATTTTAAGATCAGCCAGTGCAAGTTTATTTCAGTTGAAACAGCTCAGACTTACATTTTAGTCTAGGACTAGGCTTAAGCCTCGTCTGTGAAACCGGGGGCTAGTGTACTGATTTATTATAGGCTTTTTATTATATAAATGAATACCAAAGACTTATGCAATCCCTCTGTCTACATTATGAAAACCGCTACAACAAACAAAAAATATTATAACAGTGAAATTCCAAGTAATTCCTCTAATTCCAAATGGCAATAGCCTATTTCTCTTATTAAAACAACAGCAGTTGAGTAAGTGCATTTATTCAGCAACCACAATCGCAAACAATAAAGTTGAGATGATAGAACACAGACCGGCTGAGTGACACTTTCATTTAGATCACTAAACTCCAGCTTGTTTGACGTGTTTTCAGATCATCAGCGCCGGCGCTTCCGCAATGAAGAGCGAGCGCGTCTTAAAATAAGCAAAACACCGGGAAGAAAATGTATCCTTATAACAGCGAAGCTCTGATTTGGGGATTTGAACTCTTGCTATCTGGCAACCGCACACATGAAAGCTCTCGTAGTAGAGGCGTGTAGAGCAGTCCGCAATAACATTTTGTCTCCTTTTTTTTGACGAAAATAAAAAAAGAGGATTTTGGTAAAGTTTTTATCTTTTTGAATACATTTTAATCTCGTCAACGAAATTGCATGTTGATATAGTCTTAGTTATCGTTTATTGACCTTATTGTCGTCTTGTCTTCGTCATGGGAAAAAAGCTCTCAACGAACATTTTTCATCATAGTTTTCGTTAACGAAATTAACACTAGACAAAACCACTTTGCTTTATAAATGTTTACAACACTTAGGTCATTGTTTACAAAACAAGAATGCTTAGTTAAAGGTCCTGTGAAACCACAAACTACTATTCCATCATCAGCCAGTACTCAAAAGCACTTGTAACTTTTTTGTAGTTAAATAGAAAAAAGAATAACAATTGGACTCTAATTGTATACTACCGGATGGTTAATGTGGATGTATAATGAATGTGTGCGAGTCTGTAGAGCGCATAACTCCAACACCGTGCTTTGGCTCCCCCATGAGGTTCAGAATGGCATTGTTCCAATGTGGACACGCATCAATTGAACTGATTCAAAGTGCTGTAATATGTACTAAAAGCACATGTAACTTACTTCAGTTCTTTGGCAGGTAGCTTTGCTCTCTGTGTCACTGTCTTCGTCTGGGAACACCTTTTCCAAAATCAGAAAGGACAGCAGACCCCCTATCACCCACAAACCCTGCGTATGATAGTGCCTGTGGGACCCATCTATCCAACACATGCAAACACAAATTTTATTAATTTTTAAATAAAATTAAAGAAAAAAAATTAAACTTCATTAAGCTCGGTCCAATTCTGTTATTGTTAACAAACTATTTAAAAACATTTAATTAAATGAAATAAAATATCAGTATAAGATGAAAAACTTTATAAAGGAATGACTGTATAAAAGAAATGTTGCATTGGAAACTGAAATACAATATGCTACCATTACTAAATTAAACTGAAAAATAAATCTAAATGAAAACGTTAAAAAAACTAATAAAAATGATAATGCACAATTACTAAAATTAAAATGAAAACTGAATATATAAAAGTAAATAATCGTATGCTTGTATACTATAAATACTAAAATAACAGTCTCTGCCTTAAAAACTGTACTGTATATTGACCAAACCTGCCTTTATTAATAATATTTGACAAGCTTTCAGTATTATAATATCAAATAAAAATATCACCTATAATAGTAATTTAAAAGATAAAACACCCAGAGTGGACTTATGTTAATGTTAATAGCACTGTGTGAGCCTTGAATCCCAAAAATGAAGACATAAGATCAATAAAGGGACTAACATTTGCTCCAAAGTAAATGTTACTAAGTGCCATTTTCCATATCGATTTCAGTACCACAGTAAATTTGAGAAACTGAAGCAGAGTTACCAGAGGGAAAAGGGTTTAGCAAAGGGTCAATTACTACACACTATTGATGTTAAAATGTTAAAAAGGCATAGTTTCATGCAAAACAATGTAAGGGATTCCCATTCAGGAGAGAGAAACAGGGGGAGGGGATGAATTAAAAAAACCACACTCCCAAACTTCTGGTAGACACAGGAAGGGTTATTAAAAAAAACAGACCAAAAAGGAACAGAAACAGAGATAAGACTAAGAAACAGAAAGAGCACACAGATGATGATTAATGCATGAGCATCAGCAAATGTTATATATAATGTGAGAATTCCCACCAGGACTGGAAGTGTAAGCCCAGGCTTCAGGAAGGAGGTGGAGAAACACGTCGCCTAAGAGACCACCAATGGCAAAACTCAGCAGCTTCTTCAGCTTCTGACACCCAGCTGCAAACAGTAAAGAGCATCAGCGGATGTTCATGAACAAACATTAGCAGAAATGCTTGATATGCAACACTCCAAAGATCTTGCTGTGTTAAGCAAATTGAGCAAATCCTTCACATAAAGCAGATGGTGAAACCACCATACAGTTGCAAAATCATTCTACAAGCTCTTACATTTAATTATTATTTTGTTTTTTTCTTACAGCTTAAGTTCTGAAGCTGCACAGCTTTAATAAGCAAGTTTTGCAACCATAAAGAGTTTATGGTAATATACAGCAACAGACATATATTATCTAAAGCCATTACTCCACACTGCTTTGAAATTCATGTGGTCAGTCTCTGTGGTACAGGACACACCTAAACCACTTATAATTCAGTCTAACCCTCTACCCCCCTGCAACCTATACGCTAGATCAGAACAGACCTTCTCTTAAGCTACTCTACTTCCTGACTGGGATCCATTGCTAGACTCCAATCTATTTCTGCATGACTGATATCATCACAGACAAAAGCTTCAGTGAGCAGAACTGCCCTCTGGAAAGATCTTTAGAGTGCGACATATCAACCATATAATGTTACTGCACACTTTTTGGCATCCAATTATGGTTCTGTTGGTTCTTCTATTGAACGTCCACTACATCAAGAACTATTCAGACAAGCCATGACAGGTGTAGCTGAACAAATTCTTTCATAGCTCAAGCATGCTCACACAACACATTTTTCTCAGTGATCGCTGGATACTGTCTCTGCAAGATTCTTTATATCAGTTTGGGGAAGATTCCTAAATGTAATCTAATATACACACATAGTTTGAGGAAGATTCCATGAGGTCAGTCCCCAAAATGAACAGGTGGCAAAACTGAACTTATGAATTTAACATGTAAAATGTTGCATTTTCTGTTTCTCCTATTAAAAACGAAACCATAGATAAATCTAATAATTTTGTTAACTGTACCTACCCAACTATAACCTTCTTCCAGTCAACAGCAATGTCATTTTGACCATTAAGTGCCTAAAGCTAGTAACCGAGTAAGCTGTGAAATATTTTAGCTTTGCTTACACATTGTCAGCTACCTAACAAGCCAGTCTTTCCTTGCAGACGGCAATAAAGTGCAAAAGCATAGTGAGAAGCGTAGTATATCCAGGGTGAACCAGTATTATTTAAAGGGGTCATATGATGCGATTTCAATTTTTCCTTTCTCTTTGGAGTGTTACAAGCTCTTGGTGCATAAAGAAGATCTGTAAAGTTGCAAAGACTACGCGTTTCAGAAAGGCGGGGCATAGAGGAGAAACAATAATGTACAGTATGTGGAAAATAATGTGTTTTTTGAACCTTAAACCGCATAAACATTTCATTACACCAAATACACAAAATAATGTTCTTTTTAGCAGCATCATATGACCCCTTTAATATAAAATAATAAATAAAATAATTAAATTGGACTTGACACCTTACAAAATTAGTATTATAACTGTGGCTGGGAAATTACTTTACCATGGTACGAAAAACAAAAAGTGGAACCAGGCATAAGCAGGGAAAAATCCCACGGAGAACATGAGCTTAAAGTGAAAGGAGCTCTGCTTTAATGTAACCAAACAACTGAAGACCTAAATCAGTCTACAAGCCGGTTCTCTCTTGCTTGTATTAATAACAAACACGTGTCTATTTGTCACACTAGGCCTGATGTGTGACCAGAACATTTGAACAATCACCTCATTTTTTCCTTTCTGCTCGCAAACTATAGATGACCTGCACAGGGCCAGAAAGACTCATCATTTTTCCACCTCTGATAGAATGAATAAAGAAGAGACACAAAATACTAGATCTCTGCCCATTAGTCTGCATAAGGACACTGCTGTGAATATCTGGACCAGCTCTGAATGTAACACAATGCTACCTCTACCTGATCTGCTTAGCATGTAACCTGATCCTAGATTAGCTGTTACAATGAGCTGTTTACATACACAGAAGACCTATATCACAAAAGCATGCAAGCATAAGTTTGACTTACCCTCAGTTTTCAAAGCTGTTCCAGCTTCATTGGGTATCACTAAGAGTGGAAAGATGCCACTGAGTCCGACGGCGATCGATCCCACAAGGGAGCAGAACCAAACATCTAGGTTATCTATGGAGAACAGCTCATCCAGGTACTGGAGGTCTAGAAGGTTCTTAATGCCCCATGGTCCTGGTCCTGCAGGTGCAGTCTTTGCTTGGGCCACAGCAATCTGAGCCATCATCTTCCCACCAAGGGATGATGCCAGTAGGGCGGCGCCAAGGAGCAGCACAGCAAATGCCCAAACGGGTTTCTCAGGTCCTGCGCTCATCAGCCCAGACCTCCGCAAAGTACTTGGAAGAAGCATGTAGGGTGCTGTAAGGCAGAGAGGAACCTTCAAACAAAATTTCATGAAGTGGAAAGATTAGTTGAGTTTCAATGAGGTTCAGGGTTTCTTAGTCCCAGATGAAACAAATAGGTTAGTTAGTTTATTGTGTTAGCGAATTAAAACAATTTAAACAAACAAACAAAAAATCGTACAGTCCTCAAACTTTTAAACAGTAGTGTATTTCTTTGTTTTTTGCAGTTACATCTCTAAAACTGTATTACTATTGAATGCATATAAATTCTAAAACTTACTACTCACACTCACTATTTTTTTTTATTTGAAACATTTTTCCCACAGCAACTACCACAAGGATGCAAGTTAATTTGCTTTACAAGTTCAATGTGTTGTAATTCTTTTACAGCAACTTGTTAACAACACCTTCAAAATTAATGTACTGTGTCTGTAAGAAATGTATGTTGTTAAACAAAATACACTGTGCAATGTTATCCAAAGACTTATATAAAAAAAAAAAAAAAAAAAAAAAAAAAAAAAAAAAAAAAAAAAAAAAAAAAAAAAAAAAAAAAAAAACACATTTGAAATTCCAGGGGAAGCCATGGTGAAGTAGCCCTCTAGCTGGATATGGTGGCTATGGTGACTAAGTGCTTCCACTCCTATCCACCACCCGAAAAAACAGTATACACCACATAAAAAGACAGCCATTCAAAAGACAATGGCAATGCGAGTCACAACCTACAAAAAACACCACACCTTTTAGGTCGTTACTGCCAACACGGGAAAATAATCTACATAGAGATGAAAACATGATATCAGATAATGCATGAGAGTCAGGCCTAACACAATCCCTTCAAATAGTTTATAACTAGCACCCATAATAATGAGGATAAATGTGTTCACCGGTCTTCAGCAGTTGATCTTTATACAGTATTGAAACATTGCATATGGGTTTAAATTGTCTTTATTGCAGAAATATGTAAAGAATATACACGTAAAAACAACATACTTTAGTTTTAACAGTTGTGACTGCCACTAATAATGTCCGTTATGGTTGGACAAAAATGCAAATGCAACATTCAGAGGACGGTCTGTGGACGTGCAGGAGTTGAGGGAGCGGCGAGATTCCTGACAAATTCCAGCCCCGCTGGGCTTTAAAAACACTCCAAAGTTTGCCACGTTTCTGTGTTTGGCTGCTTAACTAATTAAACAGCAACAAGGCCCAAAGGCAAAATTGTCAATTTTATGTGATACTTATGGGCGACGAGTAGCCTGTCTATACGCAGAAACTCGCAAAACACAACGTTGTTGCAATGTTTCTGATAAAAGCAACGGTGCACGCAAACTACCTCGATACAAAGTTGCGTGCCTTGAAAAACAAATCACTGTCTACAAGATTCGCAGCAGCAATAAATAAACAAACGTTTTGTCTTACCCGGCTGAAATTCCTACAGTTTTTACTCCGGCTTGACCCTGCCATCCAGGCACTTCTGTCTAAGAGCAGGAGCACTGCAGCAGACAGTCTCCTGATTTCCCTCCTGAAGGATTTTCCACTGTCAGCCACGTCTCACCAACCGGAAGTGCATTTCCAGACTGCGCAGAGAGGGGCGGCCTGGCCTGAGCGCGCGCTAACCTGGGAGAGGAGGAGACTCAAGTAGCAAACTAGTGATGGGAAGTTCGGATCATTTTACCGACTCGGACCTTTGAGTCTCGTTCAGCAAAATGAACGAATCTTTTTGAGTCATTTCATTCATTTTAACAAAATATAATTAAAATGTTACGTGTTACTTCCCTAATATGTCTACTACTTACGCAAACGTTGATCACACTACAAACAATACAAAACTGCTATAAGAAACAGAAAAGATTAATTCATTGTTTACATGGGTCTTCAGTCTATGATTAGCTCACCTCACCTCTTATCTGACAAGTCTTCGGGTTTGAGTCGTTCGTTCATCACGTGACAGCCCCATAAGTTTAAACCAATG